AATACGTTAAAACGTATGACATGATGTCTGTAGTGCCAGAAGAAGGACGTATGTAGAAGTATGCCAGTATCTTCTCTGTATAAATATGTAATTATTGGAGTTCTTTTGAAAAGACTACATTATATTTATAACCTTTCAACCTGAAGTTTGAAGTCTTGATCTTATGCCTGCATTACAGGTCTTCCATGATAGTCTCTGGGAAGGAATCTATAAAATGAGGGGTCCAATTTGATTAGGTGTGGGTCAGTCACATCCATGTTTCCTGAGAAAACAAGGACCTTGAATTATCAAATTCAATATTGTTTGAATTATCAACAAGGGGGGACAAAAAATAATGTAAAACTGTGACATGATTTATCAAGTTAATTCATGTGTCTTTTTAAAAAATTAATTAATTTTTGGCTCTGTTGGGTCTTCGTTTCTGTGCGAGGGCTTTCTCCAGTTGCGGCGAGCGGGGGCCTCTCACTGTCGTGGCCTCTCCCGTTGCGGAGCACAGGCTCCAGACGCTCAGGCTCAGTAGTTGTGGCTCACGGGCTTAGTTGCTCTGCAGCATGTGGGATCTTCCCAGACCAGGGCTCGAACCCGTGTCCCCTGCATTGGCAGGCAGATTCTTAACCACTGTGCCACCACGGAAGCCTCATGTGTCTTTTTGTAGATAGGTCATAGTGGGTTATAGGACAGAATGCTTTACTAACTGACCATGAATAGGTCAGGCAGGACGTTAAGGGAATGGGCTTTTCATGGGAGGAGAGTGACAGGTTAACAGGGACTGATTATGTGGTAGGCAGAATGCATGGGAAAATTTGGTCACTTTCTCCATTGCATGGGAATAGCTGTTGTATAGATCTATGATTAATGAAAAACTAGTCTTATTCTTCGAAATTAAAGGGAGAGCAGTTATCACAAGAGGAAAATTTAATCAAAAGTCCCAGAATTCTAGGGCTTCCCTGGTGGCACATTGGTTAAGAATCCACCTGCCAATGCAGGGGACACGGGTTCGAGCCCTGGACTGGGAAGATCTCACATGCCGCGGAGCAACTGCAGCCCATGTGCCACAACTGCTGAGCCTGTGCTCTAGAGCCCGGGAGCCACAACTACTGAGGCCACGTGCTACAACTACTGAAGCTCGCATGCCTAGAGCCCATGATCTGCAACAAGAGAAGCCACCACAATGAAAAGCCTGCGCACCGCAACGAGGAGTGGCCCCCACTCGCTGCAACTAGAGAAAGCCTGCGCGCAGCAATGAAGACCGAACACAGCCAAAGATAAATTAAATAAAATAAATAAATGTATAAAAAAAATAAAGCCCCAGAATTCTATGTGTATATGTATGTTTGACATTTAACTGCTGTCATTGCCTTTTGCTACTGTTTTATTCAGAATGTATCATAGGTCTCTTGTTTTAATTAATAAAATTTAATTATTTTTTATGATCCTAATGAATCATGTTCCTTTCACCACCACAGTTTTCTTCCACCTAGGTACTTTATACCAGAAGGTAACAGTGTATCCGTAAGTTCTTGGGCTTTAGAGAATCTTAACAATTTCTATCCATGATGGGTTCGAAAAACTTATAAGTAGATTATTTATCCTTGTGTTGTTGTCTCCAAACTTTTCTCCAGAATATTTTTGTGGCTATAATGAAATGCAGTTCTATGGCAGTTTCTGATTGTCATGTCATTCTGATGAATTTCTGTCTTTATGATTATAAAATAGATTTCCTTATTCTTGACACATTATTTACTCTTTAATTTACTTTGTATTATGTTAGCCACTATTTTGAATGGTGTTGAAATGGTGTATTTTTTTATGCTTTTTTACTGTGTAAATTTTTGGAGTGCATTTCTTGTGGGAGACATATTTTTGTCTGTGTTCAAAAAAAGTGCAGTTGAGGGCTTCCCAGGTGGCGCAGTGATTGAGAGTCCGCCTGCTGATGCAGGAGACATGGGTTCGTGCCCCGGTCTGGGAAGATCCCACATGCCACGGAGCGGCTGGGCCCGTGAGCCATGACCGCTGAGGCTGCGCGTCCGGAGCCTGTGCTCCGCAACGGGAGAGGCCACAACAATGAGAGGCCCACGTACAGAAAAAAAAATTAAAAAAAAAATAATAAAAATGTGATATATTTTCTTGTATTCATATGTGTGATACACCAGGACGTTCTGATCATTGTACCTGGAAATACTTAAAATGTTAATTTCCCTATCTAAAATTCATCATATTTGAATGGATTCTAGTGTCTCTATGGATGAAATGTTTCACATGTTAGGGATGTGATAAAACGCACTCTGTAGCAGATGTTATCTAAGAGATACTGTCATCAAAATATCGAGGGTTGAAATGAACTTATTGCATATTTGATAATCTAGTTTTACTTTCTCTAGGGTTCATATAAGGAGAATATACCTCCCTATTAAATGCCCTTAGAAATGTTGCAACGTAATTATTATTTACATGGAAATAAATTCCAGTGTCTTCTGAAGAATATTTCACAGCCTCTGTTATCTACACTTGTCAGAACTTTCAAAAATATAAACAAAGAGAAGAGCTAAACTATACTGCATCTTGCAAAAAATACAAAGTAAAACGTTCTAATTATCTTCATGATGAACATAGAGTCATCTGAGATTACATTGCTTAGTTTTTATGTACATAATTTCATAAACAAGTTTTTCTAGTATATAGTTAAACATAATTTTCACAAGTGTGGAATAGAGCAAGTGTCTCAAAGGATAATGTAGTTCTCATAGAAAGCAAAATATTTTTTCTGTTTTGTTGCTCCCTATTTTCATGGTATCTATATGAGATGATGGATGCTTACTAAACATTGTGGTAATTATTTCAATATATGTAAGTCAGAACATGATGCTGTACACCTTAAAATCATACCGTGATGTATGTCACGTACCTCTCAAAACTGGGGATAAAATGTGGTTTTAAAAGGCAAATAAAACACTAGCAAAAAAGAAAGAACAATGCAATTTATAACAATTAAAATTTTAAACCCTTTTAAAAACTCTTTTTAAAACAATGGTTGGGTACGGAAATTATCATATGCCTTAGTCCTCCAGCCTCAAACCCCAAGTTTTGCCCGAGCCTGTGGAACTGAGCAGAGTGTTGGGTTTGTTGTCCTGGCTGAATTAGGAATAGAAAGGAAAAGCTCTTCTGTAGGGTGTCAGTGTGAAATGGCCCATTCTCCCCAGGGAGGGTTTTGTATTTCTCATTCTGGTTTGTAATAAAGAGAGAATTCCAGCTCTTGTTTCCTAAAACTAATTCAACTTCAGGAAGTGTTCCCAGATCAAACTACTGCGCCATAGCTACCACTTGGAGGCCCAAGTTCCCAACCACTGAATTGCTGGAGTCTCAGGAGCGGGACATGCGAGCAACCTGCTGGCAAAAACAGGTGTTTATTGAAACCACTTTTAACTTGTTGGGAGGGAAACATCTGTTTTCCACATCAGTGGCCCACACATCTGTAAGCTTTTACCTTAAAAGTGTTCCAGAAAGTCACTTAAAATCAGCAGTTACTAGGGAAGGGGAAGCACGGCGCTGTCACTCGCCCCGCCACCCCAGACCCTTCCCCCCGCTCTCTCTGCGCAGAGCTGGGCTCTCGCCCCGCCCCTAGCCAGTAGCGGCCCGCCCAGAGCCCGCCCCCGGAAGTCCCGTCTGGTCCCTTCGGACGCACTTTCCTCCTGAACCGGAAACGGGATACACGTGTTGGAGGTCTCGCTACGAAGTATTTCTACTTTGCTGTAAGTGTGTGCTGCGCTGTTCTCCGTATTCTGCCTTCAGGGTCTTGGGAGTGGCTATCAACCTTACACCTCAGCGCCTGGCCCTCCGGCCGAGTAAATCCAGACGCTGTTACAGGTTGGGTATCTCTTCATTTCGGTTGAAATCGGTGCGAGGTTGCCTGTTCTCGTGGCTTTTCTGCCTTCCACGTAGACACCGCGTTTCGCGTCGTTTTCCTTCATAAAACCCTTCAGTACCCCCGCCTCCCGCAATGAGAAGTCCTCTTCCGCAACGTGGATTCGCGCCCCCTAGCCTCGCACTCTCGGTCTTCGGTCCACCGAGACACAGCCTTTCGCGACATTTTCCTGCTTAAAATCCTTCATTACCTCCGCCTGCGCCTTGTAAAGTCCCCTTCTGCGAGGTGGATTCGCGCGCCCGCAGCTTCGCTCTCTCCCGCTGCCGGTGAGGCCGTGTCCTCTCCCTGGCCCTGGGATTCTGGAGAGCCCGCTCCTCTCCTGAGACCCCCTCGCTCCCTCCCAGCCCCTCTGTCCTCGCGTCTCCTCAGGCCGGTCCTTGTGCTCCCCCGGCCTCCCCTTCGTAGTCAGCCCTTCCCCTCAGCCCGCATAGGGGGAGGTGACCTGGGCCAGACGTGTGACACCTAGTGTTTTTCCGCCCCAAATTCCAAATGGTCTCTTCCAGTAGCTGGGCATCTTGTTTATTCTCCATTCCTCTAAATATGTGGGGCAGGGGGATCAGGAGAAGCAGAGACACAGTGACTGAGAGACAAGGAGAAAAACTGAGGAGAAAAGAATGAGGGCGGGGCTTCCCTGGTGGCGCAGTGGTTGAGAGTCCGCCCGCCGATGTAGGGGACGCGGGTTTGCCCCGGTCCCGGGAGCCATGGCCCGTGGGCCATGGCCGCTGGGCCTGCGCGTCCGGAGCCTGTGCTCCGCAGCGGGAGAGGCCGCAGCGGTGAGAGGCCCGCGTACCAAAAAAGAAAAAAAAAAAAAAAAAAAAAAAGAATCGGGGCGAATCGAAGGGAACGTGAACCATGACTGAGGATCTTGAAGAGGAATAGTAACATAAAATAAATTTAGCCTTGAAAGTCTTGCACTGTGATAAAATATAGAAGTAATTAAAATAGGATCTGCGGGATTGCAGAGCAACGTAGTGGGAGGGACCTAGGATCATTGGCAGGAGGGGGATAACAGTGGAGAGGCAACACATAGTGTGGCGGCGGAAGACAAAAGAGTTGGAACCTTGGTCTTCAGAGCAACATGGTGCCTGGAGAGATAGAAGAAACAAAGATTTCAGGAGCAGAGGAAGAAAACGAGCAGGAAAGAAGCATAGCCACCTGGAGGTGCCAGAGAGTGGGGACAAAGGGAGCATAACAGGGATAGAAAGAGTGTAACCCAAGGGCAGAGAGGGAGCAGAGATGGGGGGAAGAAAGAGACACGAATATCGAGATTTAGGGTAATCAGAAAGGTTTTGGGAAAGAGCCATAAGAGGGGAAACAAGTTGCAGAGTGGACTGGACACATGTGAGGGTCGATATAGGAGGGCAAGAATGAGACAGTTTGGGATCTGGGACCTGGCAACCTTTGCTGCAGTGCTTACACCTGGACAAACATCTGGAGCAACAATACAAAGAAAGTAGAAGGAACTAAAAATAACTGTGTGCATGAACAGTTGGGGCAAATTATAAACAATATACAAAGAAACTAAAAACCCAATTGCCACTTCTGAGGTGTTGGGTGCAAAAACAGGATACTGTGCATGCACCCTGCACACCGCTCCAGCCTGACCCCTGGACCCACCCCTGCCTCACTCCATATAAGGGACAAACTTGACCCCTGACCCTGGGAGTGAGCAAGGGATCCTGTTACTTGTTGCTGCATGAGTCCCAATAAAGCCTTGCCTGAATTTCTTGTCTGGACTCTTAGCAATTTCTATTGATAAAGGAGCCCAAAAATCCTGATCCGTAACAAGAACACCAGCAGAGTGGAGGGGAAGAAAAACAGAGACAAAATAGAAAAAGGGAGAAAGATAAAGATAAAGAGAATGAAATGGAAACGCACAGTAGTGCAGGTAGTGTTGGGGAAACTGGATCCAGATGGATGGTGAATTGTCTCGATATGGATGATTAAGTTGTGATATGCTGATTTGTGGCTTTAGAATATAGTAAATATAAAATTTGTTTACTTAGGTTTACAGATGAGGATGACAATTGCAAAACTGTCTATAAGATTTGTGCATTTAGTAATTATTTGTATCAGAAGATAACTTCATTATTTATTTATTTTTGGCTGCGTTGGGTCTTCGTTGCTGCTCGCGGGCTTTCTCTGGTTGTGGTGAGCGGGCTTCTCATTGCGGTGGCTTCTCGTTGCGGAGCACGGGCTCTAGGCACGCGGGCTTCAGTATTTGTGGCACACAGGCTCAGTAGTTGTGGCGAACGGGCTTAGTTCTGTGGCATGTGGGATCTTCCCGGACCGGGGCACGAACCCATGTCCCCTGCATCGGCAGGCGGACTCCCAACCACTGCGCCACCAGGGAAGCCCCAATGATGTTTTATATTAACATTCAAAATCAAGTTTAGCCAGTTAGCCTTATATTTTGTTTTCTTCCTTTTTCTGTGATATGTTAAAATGGCTGTGAGATGATAGGAAGATTTTTCCCTCAGGTCCCTCTTACCTGTTCTGTACAAATGATGAAGGATGGACTAGATTGACTTGGAAGCTTCCAACAGAGTCTCTCTATTCATGATGAAGAAGTTTGCTGAGAGCTTATTTCTCAGCTGACCCCTTACAATGTTTTCTGCACCAACAGCTGTGCTTTTGCAGTGGCCACGCTGCACAGCTTTCAGGATCTCCGTTCCTTGACCAGGCATTGAACCCGAGCCAGGGCAGTGAAAGCCCAGCATCCTAACCACTAGGGCAACTGGAAACTCCCTGTATTTTTAAGTTATTTTAATGTGATTTTTCTGGAAAAGAAGAATTAAATGGCTGGTACCAGTGTGATCTGACCTTGAAAGAGAAGTTTCCATTGCTCAGACCCGTGATCGAAGGTGTTTTAAATAGGATGAGCAATTAGGACAAACTCTTCCCACTTAACCCTTTGGGTGACCTTTTTAGAATTCAGTTACGCCTGATTCTGTTCACTCAACTGAGACTTTCTCATAACTGCCTCAGAGAGCCCACTCGTAACATGGAGGTGATCGACTCCACCAGAAATTCTTCATTTGAGCAACAGAGACCCTTGAAATGATTGGCCCAGTTGGGCGTGAGTTTGTGTGTGGCAGTGCCCAGTTGAATTTAGAGTTTTAATTTTAACTTATTTTATTTTATTTATTTACTTATGGCTGCGTTGGGTCTTCGTTGCTGTGCGCGGACTTTCTCTAGTTGTGGTGAGCGGGGGCTACTCTTAGTTGTAGTGCACAGCCTTCTCATTGCGCTGGCTTCTCTTGTTGTGGAGCATGGGCTCTAGGCACATGGGCTTCAGTAGTTGTGCCATGCGGGCTCAGTAGTTGTGGCACACGGGCTTAGTTGCTCGGCAGCATGTGGGATCTTCCCGGACCAGAGCTCGAACCCGTGTCCCCTGCATTGTCAGGCGGATTCTTAATCACTGCGCCACCAGGGAAGCCCCTAATTTTAATTCTCAGTTCTTACACTCAGACCTCCACTGGCTACCGTTTGTCCGCTGGACAAAATCCTGACTCCTCACTGTGGGTACACAGCCCTGTGTCATCCTCAGGACCCTGCCGGGGTCTCCAGCCTCATCCTGGGAGCTTAACCTTTTCTCATGGTCCACTCTGCCCCGGTCACATTCACCTTTTCTTTGTTCCCAAACACCAAAACCTTTTCTGTCTCAGATCTTAGTTCCTTTCTTACCTTCTCCCTTTAAGTCACCATGGGTCAGGCCCTCTGTCCTCCTTCAGGTCTAGGCTCAGGGAGGTCTCCCCAGCCCCTCCTGACAATCTCTTGTCACACTAATGGTTTTATTGTCCCTACATCAATCACCCTCATGAGAAATGCCTTTCTCCATTGATTATTTGGAGTCTTTCCCATTTTCACTTCACTGAAGAGCACACGTTTTCCTCTTCTGAGGATGGCTGCAACGTCTCACTCTGGGGATGTGTTTAGAAGCTAGGACTGTGGGATGGGCTGAGTAATCTCCCCTAAGGAGAGACCAGGTGAACAGGGTAGGTGATGAGGGTGGTTCCCATATTTGTTCTGGACATTTCGACTTTAATTGATCCTTACCCCATGTGGCTACTTAATTACTCAAAAGCAAAAAGATGTAGGGAGCTGTAAAAAGCCCTACAAATCTGATGTCCTCATGCAGTGTCCTGAGGTGTCCCTGTGTTTAGTCTCCTGTGTCACTGCTCCCCTGTAGCCCCCAGGTATTCCAGTCTCTGCACATCCAGTGACCAGTCGCCACCTTGGACAGGAGCTTTGCCTTCAAGCATTTCATGTACTCAGAGTCCAGGATAGTGATTTCACTGTGGTAAGTGGGGGGCATAAATCCAGAACCTAAGGGGAATGAAGGAAGTCCCTGTCAAAGAGCTAGCGGACTCCCGACCACTGCGCCACCAGGGAAGCCCTAATTAATCTTTTAATTACCTGTGAGTTGGGAGAACAGGAGACAAGAGACCTGGGGACCCTCTCTCTTTGAGACTTCCTCACTGAATTCCGATGCCTTTGTAGCTGAAGTCCATAACGTCCCCAGTTGCTGGTAAATTTTCCCAGGCGGGTCAACTTCTTGACCTCCATACTGAACGCCCGGCATCCTTTGGATGGTTTCTTGTGAATATTCCTGTTGCGATGCCTTTGCAGACAGATACTTGTGCCTTTTAGCCCTCTTTGCCCGTGTTTGCATGAGGAGAGGTGGAAAAATGGGGAAATTGAAGGGGGCCCTGTAGGGTTCTGTAGGCTGGATATCAGCAAGGGCAAGCATCAAGATGAGCCCCATGAATGGTGTGTTCAGCTGTTCCTTTGGTCTCAAGGGGTTTGTGGCAAGGGATGTGTCAATTCTGGCTGGAGCACCTGGAATTGGGTTTATGGGTAGTTGTGGGTGCATTGCATGGTTTGAGGTGCCATAGTGTCTTAACTCAGGTTCCCTGGGACCTAGCTGCTGAGACTGAGGTTTCCATGCATTGGTTTATTTGGATATTTCATGGTTATACCTGGGGATGAATGAAGGCAGTGGATTTAGGCAGAGAAAAACATTTTTCTCCAGTGTTGTGAGAAGTATGGCCTGAGCTGAGCCCACAGGGATCTTTGGGTGCATGAGGATGGGTGCCTTGTCCTCAGTCTATTCATCTAGAGGGTGCCCTACAGCCTCCACAGGTGACTTCTGTTGGGTCTTTTGGATGGTGTAGAATCATTGTGCGATTGTTAGAGTAATACAGGGAAAATTTCAGTGATCGTGTTGTGAGTTATCTTTGGTATTTTTAAGTATTTTGGGTCCCAAATGAAGAAAGTTTTAGATGCACTGTGAAAGATACAAAAGAGAATTTGGAGTGTTTCCATGGGAGATTTGGGGTTACCACTGGGGCATGTGCACCATTGGAAACATCTTTCTTTTATATATAGTTTTTTTGGAGATGACAGTGTTTGGTCTGTGGTCATGGTGAAGGAAAATATATGTAGTTTTCCCTCAGGCGTGATTTATTGAAGTAGAATGTTTTCTCGTATTTTATAGTAGGATGAGTTGATACAGATTGTACGGAGACTGTGTTGGACCCCATGAGAGTTTGTAAGTTCATTTGAGTCCAGAAGGAAAGTTATGAGTACTAAGCTTTGAATGGCAAAAGGTTTTCGTTAGGGATATTCTGCTAGGTATGTGTCTGTGGACACAACTTGAGAGGGGCCATTAAGTTCTCTGATGTAGTGAAAGATTTTTCCAAGAATCAGAGGGCAAGTAGCACCACAGTGATCTGCAGCCCAGAGGCTCATCCTTGGGAAGCTGTAGCTGCTACTTTCTGGCTGCCAGGTCAGTGCTGGTTCCTCTACTGTCCTCTCCCTACCTGTGTGAAAATGCACACGCACACACACACACATACACGCATGCCCAATACACAGAACAGGGAACCCTTGTGCTTTGTTGATGGGAATGTAAGTGTTAGGGCTTTTATTGAAGACAGTATGGAGTTTCCTTAATAAAATAAACATAGAACAGGCACACAGTCTATGACACTCACGTCTGACTACATATCCAAATGAAATCACATCATTATAGTGAGGTTAATATTTGTACTCCAATGAATATTATTGCATTATTCAAAACAGCCAAGATGTAGAAAGAACTAAATTGCCTGTTGGCAAATGAATGGATATAGAAAATACATGTCAGCCATAAATGA